CATTTCACCGCTTCCCCAGCCGACAGATTCAGCTCTGTAGGAGCACAGATCGGCAACGCAATGCTGTCTCTGAGCTGGGGCGGCGGGTTGGTGGATGGGTAGGAAGGCAAGGCTAAACCCAGGGGGTAGAGAAGGAAATACGGGCACTACTTTTTGTAAACCAATTTGGCAGCAGGTCGTCTTGTTAACAGTTGGGCCAATGCAGTGATTCAAGCTGAGGATTTAAGCATAAAAATGGACAGAAAGACAAATATGCAGCCGAGATGGGAAAGAATAAACAGGTTGACACCGGATAATTCCACTTTATGATCATTTACAATAATTCATTTAATTTATCCAAACCGGGGAGGAATACGAAAATTAAATTTGCAGATTTTCATTCAGCTTTATTTCCTGGAGCAGAACACACATTTTAGCCATTTTAAACACGTTTGTTGAATTTTGACAACTAAATCTTTTTTTCTTTTTTTTTTACATAAGCATATTGCACAGCAGTTTTGCATCTTTACACTCCATCCTTTCATATTCCCATTATATTTAAAAACTTTTCTCATTTGGTTTTGTAAGAGCTACAGAGGTCAGACCAACGGGCTAACTGTTAGCTAGTTTCTGTATTTTCACAGATCTTAGGCAGAGCAGTCACTCTGACATTTTTTTCTTATCAGAGTTCACAAAATCCTAGGATTCAAGCGTATCTCATCATCTAACAACTCAAACCAAAAACTTCCTTAGCTCTCAATATTATTTCTCCATATGCTAACATATCACATTCCAACAGTTTCATGCTAGTACAATTTGCCCAAATTAAAACATTGTTGTCACTTTTCTTAGCAATATATTGAGCAGGTGATTTTTTTTTAATTTATTTTACCTTAACATTCCAGTCTGCTTCTTTGTGAATTGTTGCAAAGACAGCATTGATAAATGCTACGGCAAGAAATTATGCTAACACTTTTCTCAAATGGAAAAAAAAAATTAAACAGACCTATTGAGGTCATGTAGAGACTATACACTTGGATAGTCTTTTTGGCCAATGGAGAGAGATCTTAAATATCTGTAATTCATGTATAAACCAATCAGTATAGAGGAAAATCTAACTTTTGAGTTTATTTACTGGTCCAAATGAAAGTTCATTAGCAGACCCCTGGAGAAATTTGCTATGCTTTTAGGAGGTAGTTGGACCTTTTGAATCAGCTGCGTTGAAGCAGAGACACGTTTAAATCTGGCAGGACTTGAGCAGAGCACCCATGGCCTACGTGATGATTTTTTTATTCATTTATTTTTGCTTTGACTGATGTGGTGAATCATTTTAGTGTTTCCTTACATCACTGCTCAGTTGGGTTGTCAGACAGGCTATATTGTTTCTCTTTTTCACTCCCACTGATGGGTGGTAAACACTGCTGAAAAGTGATGTGTGCCACTGGGAGAACTCACTGCACTGGAAACATATTTTCCTGATGAATACACTCTTACTGGCTTGGTGCTGCTCAAATGGGCATAACCCAACTAGAAAACAAAAGAGTTGATCTACTGAGGTCGTGAGTAAGGAGAATAATGATTATTTTGGGGGAAATAGCTTTGCAGGGAGTGATCAGTGATGCGTTGCATGAAAAGACACATCGACTTGGAGAATTCATAAACTCTTTAAGTATTTGTGTGCTGCCTTCCACATGACCTGTGTCATGCTGACGGCGCGATATAAGGCAAATTTAAAAAAATAAAAAAAATTAGTCAAATTTATTCACCAAGTACAAGGAAGACAAAAGACGAGGCGAGGCGGAGAGAAATGAGTTTAAGCAAAAACCAACTGAGATTTTCAAGAGGCTCCTCTGATTCTGAGGCAGAGTTTTAAAGACGCAGGCGAGCGATCCCCCATCTGTGTGTTTGATGAAGAGGCTCAGCAGCAGCAGCACGTCAAAAGCAGACATGCAAAAAAAAAAAAAAAAAACAAAAAAAACAACTTTCTGACAGATGCTGCTCGCTGGCGTCGGTTCTCCTGTAATTTGTTGAAGTGTTCTTGTTTTTATGTATGCTGATTGCACGAAACGTTTAAGCGCGGTGCCAGGAGGCGGCCTTTTGTCTCTGTACTTAATTTACAACAAACAATACAGAGATAAGTTTTAGGGCATTTCATTAAAGGCAGCACCAGCGCGCCTGTTATTTCCCTCCGTGGGTGGAACAAAAATAATCTTACGCTCCTCTCAGGGTGAGTAGCGTGACGCCATTGAAGCAGCACAGCGCGCGTTTGGCCAATTTCCCCTCCCTGTTTGTAGATTTGGCCGCGCTGGCCGTCTCTGTTGTTCAGATAGAAAACTCTCACCAGCAGACAACAAAACATTCTTTTATTTGGCTTAAAGCACTCAAAAGGTCAGACAGAAGTTCATTTAGTCAACCCTGCATCTGTTACCTCTCCATTTTCAACAAAAAGGTAGTTATTTCTCAGGAAACCTCCTCTCTTGGTCGGCCTTCCCATGGTGCACATCCACAATGGAAAAGAACTTAACACTGTCATTACTATCATTCATTACTGGTATGCTTGTATAAGTTACTATTCATATCTATAAATAGATTAGACTCGTCAAAAAAAATAAAAATAAATAAATAAAAGCCCTCATCAGGCGAAGTTGGTCAATCTGTTTCTTGTGGATTTGGTAGGAAAAAAGCTTCATAGTGATGTGTTATTAGATAACAATACAGAAAAAAAATTATCTTTGGGAGAATCTGGTCAGTCGTTGCACCAATCAGGTGAGCTGGCTGAGACGACTGTCATGTTAAGGCTAAAGTGACGTCCAACAACTGAACTTTAACTTGGATAAGATGCTTTTCAGACAAGTCCTCAGTAATCCTTGAAGTCCATAAACCAAAAAAAAAAAAATAAATCCTCTGTTAAAATATCTTTAATTTGAATAGGATAAAATATTCAAAAATAGGAATTTGAAATTATTTAAGGAACAGCTTCATATCATTCATTGAAACATGCTATGTATATAACAATTGACAAAATAAAGACAGATATGCAGTCAATATTTAAAACTAAAACAAACGGAAAAATGTTTCTATTTTTTTCAAAAAAAAAAAAAAAAAAAAACACTGCATGACAGAGAACCTCTGGCTTGACATTTATCAAACTCTAAAGGTCAACTGGCTGTCACTCTGGAAAGATGCAAATTATTCTGGATGAAACTATATTAAAACTAAAAAGGCAAAACGTGACACTCGGAGGCTGAAAGTAAATTCTTTAATGCATCCGTCACTCTTTGTTTACTGCAGTAATAGTGGACTCCAGTGCATGAACGGTCCATAATGTTTTAATATTAAGTATTCTGTGGCGATTTATTCAACCTATTTCAATGACAGCCTATTGCAAACAAACAACAACAAAAAAAAAGTCCAAATGCCACCCGGGATTTTGGCACCATATAAATGCTTTGTTGTGCTTCCCTGCTTGGCCCAGAGCGGCCCACAGCCCTATAAACACACAGTCAGGTTTACTGCCAGAATGCAGAGTGCCACTCATTCGCCCACACTTTGGCCTTTTGTAGCGTTGCTCTGCAGTCACTTCAGCTCCAAACTTCTGCTCTCTGTGCTGCTCGGCGCCTCTGTGCCAGTTGGATCCCTGACTGGTTCACCACCACGGAGACGCTGAAGAGGTAAATGCTGTCACCTTGCAGCCATTGGATCCAGCCAGGCCCCAAACCAGAACCTGACCGAGTCCAAAAGCCTAAGGTGTGTCTGTCTGTCTGGCATACTGATATATCTAGACTTAGATATATCTCTAAGCATATATATATATATTTTAACACAATTACAACTTCTTTTTTTTAACTATTATTAAATGTTCAAACTTTTAGTTTTATTAATTGTGATGATATTCTGCTAATAATCTAATAAGTAACAACTTTATGATTAGAACACTAAGACCAATAAAAAACAATATTTTTAATTTAAAAAAATGTGGGTTAAATGAAAAGTATTTTTAATATGCTTGAAGGCTGTTGTCATCAAATCAGAGAATTGTCAGAACACGTTTACTAATGTTTTGAAAATGACTAAGAGTTCTCAGCAAAATATGTTTTTGTGATGATGCACACATTTAGAAAGTGAGGTGTTAACGCTGCTACATGCATAATTTGACCATCTGTCAAATCAGCCTGCTGCAAGTTCTTTTGGACATTTTGAATAAATCTTCAGGTTAGGCACACAAGCTCTCATATGCAAAGTGCAGATGTGGGGCGAATGCTGCAGCATTTGCTTAATTTCATGTAGTATTATGCAAACACCCTGTGTAGGCTGATCAAAATTCAGTTATCTCAGTAGTCAGATGACTAAAATTGAATTTGAAACTTGCAGTAAGAGATATTACTTGATCAATTTCAGTAGTTATTGTCTTACCAGTAGGGGGCACTATTCAGGTACTGAAATATATTTTTCATTTGCTAATTGGTCTATATATGAATAGAACAATTTAACAAGATAATGACATAATAGGAAATAAAAAACAAAAACACTGAACTATGTACTGTTACAGTAAAGTCTAGTGACTTCCACACCCTTGATCCCAATACGCATGCACCATTTAAACCAGTAGCGGTTCAAAACCAGTTCCTGTACTTAAAGGACATGACTGGACGTAGACATGTGCCACAGAATCTGCATTTTCTCTTGCTTGCATTTTTAAAAAAAATGCCAACACTGAGAAACTCTGACACCATCTTAACCTTTTGAAAGAAAAAAGTTTTATCAATATCAACACAATTTAATTTTATATTTTTCATTTGAAGAAAAAAACCCCCATAGAATCTTATTTTTCACCAGGCCAAATATGTCAGTTCTGCTTTAAAAATTCTGCAGTTTTCATTGCAAAAAAAATGTATATTGTCTTTGCTTGTCACAGCTTCTAAATCTTTCACCTGTCCCATCAGACCTCACAATAAGCTAAGTACCGGTACTATGTGGCAAAAATGAAACAAAATGTCCTTGTAAAATAATGTAGTCTTGTCTTTTTTTTCTTCTTCTTGCCAAGGTGTTAAAACAAATGATGATGTTTTGGAAGCGTGGAGCCGAGCTGTCAGCCCGTCTTTGAATCTTTGAATCGCCAGTCATCACCTCCTTGAAGACGAGCCTTCCTTTGCGTTGTTGGCGCATGCAGCAAATCATTCCAGACAAAACAAAGGAAACTAACAGTAGCATTCAAATTACAATTCCCACTTTTTACCCCCCCTCTTCCCCTCTTTCTGTTAGTTTCTGGGACCCTGGAGGCTTTTCCATGCTCACTTTGTTGGCATCCTCCACCGTCGGAGTGTAACATCCAGCCATCCAGTAGATGGAAAAGGAAGCCTGTTATCCTGCTTGCCTGCCTGCCAGCTCTCAGCTTGCAGACAGACAGTGGGGAACTGGCTGGCTTCTGGAGCCTAATGGCTCATTCCCTCCTCCCTGGGATTGAAATGGAAAGGAATGTTGTTTACCTCAAACACAGCAGGCCACCACAGAGAGAAAGAGCTCAAAACACTGAATCTCAGGTATGTCAGGTCCGCTTTGGTGAGACACTTAAGGAAGAACACGAAGCAGTCTTGTTGTATTTCATTTGTTTAACCGTTGTTATGCTAATGATATAACTGATATAAATAAAGAAGGATAGATATACAAATTAGTGGATGAAACCATGTGCCTTTGGATAATGTCCTCTCATCGTCAGTACATCAAAATGGGATTAACACAATTTCACAAAATTAACATTAACCTAGCTATTATATTTAATGTTTTGTGACATCTGTGTATACAAAACGCCAGCATGTGGTTGATACCTTGAGAATTTGATTGACAATAATTGTTTTAAATGGCAGAGCAAAGAAATCACAGTTTTCTGGGGTTTTCTTTTTTTGGGGGGGAAAATATTCTGGCTCCCATGTGACCATTAAACCAAAGTTCCTTTCCTTTTGTTTCTAACCTTTGTCTGCTGATGTGCTGATTATATGTTATTGGAGGCAGGCAATGTGACCTCACAATCACTGGAAAGTTGGCGGAGTGGCCATCACGGTGCCACTTGAGGCGCGATTGGAGTTCCTTGTCCAAAATGTAATTGCAGGCGCCTCAAGTGACATTGCACACCAACCGAGGCGTTGTCAGAAAGGCCGCTGATGTCTCTGTTGGTGCATTTAAAGGCTTTCAAAATTCGTCGTGCGGAGGGTCCCACTGTATTCACCGGCTCGCCCAGATGCACCACCGAGAGCCCGGATCAAATTTGAAAAGGTTGAGAAGAGATGCGCAGCAGGAGGTCCGTTCGTGTCCTTTCAAAGGGCGTTCAGGGGGCTTCGGCGCGATGATAAATGATGTCAGAGAGGTCAAAGGTCACAATCAGAGAAGGAGGGCCATGTGTCGGAGCTGGGTCAAAGACAAAAGAGTTCCAAGTTCATGAGTAACTTTGTTCATAACATTCAATACTTGAGAAAATTGAATTGTTTTGCTCGACGCCCCTCAAATGATACTTCAAAGAAATCCACAGATGTACTAGAAAACTGATTTAATTTGCTTATATTTCATTGTTAAATCATTCATTGATATATTTTAACCGTGACTTATCTTTAAAGACCCTTTCATATCAGGAGCAGAGGTAAAGTCACACAATCTACGTGTGTGAGAGAGCAATCGGTGATACACGCCTCACCTGTAGGAGATAAAAGAGAACATAAAGCAACATAAATATTTCACAACAACAAGGCAACAAACAGACATTTGCTGTGTGAATATACAGCTTCTGTAATGATCAAGCCGCTAAATCATTCAGATAAAGTTTAGTGGTTTATATAAAAAAAAAATTACATTTCCACAGGGCAACATGGCAAGTTGGTGTGTTTCTGTGATGCATTGTTGACGTGTTCATAACGACACAGGCTCCATCTCACCCACTGACCACTGGAGATACACACCAGGGTTAGAATGGGTCCAGAAAACTTATGCTTTTAAACATTTTGATGTGTGTTGCTGGGTCCACAGTTTGGCATTTATGTCACTTTCCTAGTAAGAGAGAAAGGGAAGTGGAATCAAAGCTAAGGTTTAAAAAGAAATTAGATCTCATCAAAGAAGTGAGGAAAAAAACAACCATACCAAGGTTGGTAACTTTCTGTGGGGTTTTTTCTTTGTTGTTGTTGTTGAGTTGATTAAATACACAGAAAGCTCTGAATGAGAGATTTGTCTAGGCATTTGTGATCAGTCTGCAGAAGCCAGATGAAACACAGGACCTGTGGGGTGTTTCCAGTCTGCTACTGTTTAAAACTGATGCAGCAGAAGTTTCAAAGACCAGCAGGAGTGTTATCTTTAAGACATCTAGGTGCTGGAAAAGAGTCTGATATCTGAAAATAAGCTGAAATGGAGCAGACAATGCAACACTTCTACTGGGGTGGAAATCCTACCTGAATCTTCTGACCGCTTCAAAGGGCAGCAGCTTGGGAACTGGTAGTCCACTGGATGGATCAGCCAGGCATGCTGAGCCTTTTGCACTGACCTTCAAAACACCTCAGAAATACACACGGACAGTCCGGGAAGCGGGGAAGCTACAGCTCTCCCACTGCTGATATCTATGAATTTATGACCTTTCTCGGTGCCTTTTCAATAGGTCTGCTTTGCCCCCAGGTCATGAAACCTTTTAGTTTTCAGTGTACAGACAGAACACGGCGAGATCATTTATTAAGAGGACCCTCTCCTTCAACTTACGCACTGCATCCCGCAAGAGGTCAGACATTAAGGTCTCCATCGGGCACCGACAGCTGTGTGGAAACCTCTCACCGTTTCTTACGTGTCCTTCTGTTGTTGTTTTTCTTGTTGTTTTTATGCTGTAATCGTTGGCTCTGTTGATTACAGCAAGTATCACATTGTGTGTAATAAATGTAATGAATGTTAGAGTCTTTGCTAAGACCTTGCTCATTAACAGCAAGAGGTGCCTCATTTAGGTGGACGGAGGAAAACCAGGTCAACGCAATTTAATAAGCTTTGCTCCGCATGCAGATTAATTGAAGTTTGTAGCAGAGTTTTCTGTGCTCGGTTTAAAACAGCAAGCAGGTTTAAATGGGCTTTAGTTTGGGTTTGCCAGGATGGTACCGAGGTCAGGTAAGCGGCTTCAGTTCAATATCACAGCGTCCTTTTCTGACACAAACTGCTGTTGCTGTGGGATATGAAGGAGAGAAGCACTTTATACACATGTTGTGTGCTGGCAGTCTGCCGTGCTTGCCTCTCCAAACCTGCACTACCAACATATAAATCATTACCACCTCTGATATTGCACAGGTTACATTGTCGTGTATCATATTTACTAAACTATATTACCAATTGTTTTGACATAGCTCGTGAAGAAACAAGTTTTGATTGTTTAATTAAGTAAAGAATCAAAATGCTTTGTTGAGACAGCCCAAATAAACAGAAGACATGCCTCCATAGAAAATAGTTTACTTTTAAAGAGAAAACTGTTTTACTCTTTAGAGTAAACTTGATTATCGAGACTCTGGCAAGTTTATTTGCATAGCACATTTCAGCAACCAGGCAGTTCAAAGTGCTTTACAGCATAAAAACATCATACAGTCACAAATTACGAAGCACGTCATTACATGCAACAGACGTTACATTACCAAAGGAGATGCTAACTTTGGGATAGATAGCGGCTAATGGTTAGCTTGACGCAACATTTTTACAGCATTACAGAGAGGCTGAATGCTGCTAAAGTGAAATTACTAGATTTTTACATTTTTTACATGTTTACAATTGTTTGCCCTGGTGAAATCTAGAAAAAAACAAACATTGTTTTTAGTCTTAAAACAGATCTACAGAGCTGAGATTTTAAATGTGGCATTAATAAGAGACAGTCACATGAATTCAAGCACATCAAAGTGTGTCAGAGCGCCACGGTGAGATGTGTCGCCGTGTGCCTACATTTCATGGTAACCTTGTGAATTGCCTAAATAGTGGAAAGAAGCTGGGAAAATTGAGAGTGAATGTCTTGTATGAACTTCTGATTTTGTGCTCGGGTGTGCTGAAACAGCAGCACAGCAATACGCACCGGTTAACTTTTCTTCTTCTATCTGAGTTAAAACACGCCATTACGAGGGGCCCTCATACTCCCTGAAAAATACAGGAAGAGCCGGGCGTCCGCACGTGGCAGCATCACTTGAGTCACAGTTATCTCGTCACCCCCTCTTTGCTATCAACCTGTTTGACCTAGCAGTCGCACGTACACACACACACACACCCACACACACACGCACACGCGCGCATACCTACGCAAACAAAACTTACAAACAGCAACACACGTCAGATGCAAACATGTATTCCCGACAGGAGGCAAAGAGATGAAACAATGCCCTGTCTTATTCTCTCTCTCTCTCTCTCTCTCTCTCTCTCTCACACACACACACACACACACACACACACACACACGCACACACATGCCTCTTTTCTTACCTCCTGAAGTGTAGACATTCACACCCCTCTGTGACTCTGACAACACCACACATCTTTAATCACACACTTACACACACGCAAACACAAGTAATGACCTGCACGCGCGCGTGCGTTTGCGTGTGTGCAAACAGCGTGCACAGTCCTGGAGCCGCTGACCCGGGCTCTGTGGGTAACCATGGCGACCACATTTCACCATGGAGACGACCGTTACTCCCTCCTTTGCTCACCCTCCTCCTCCGCCCGTGCTCCCTACTCCTCTACCCCACCCTGTTGTTCCTTCTCGGTTTTCTCTCCGTGCTCCAGTGGCACCAGTTGGTTGCCAAAATGAGAGCCAGGTGGGCTCTTCATCACTCTGAAGAGTCACTTTCGGTCTTCCCCTCTTCCGCTCCTTCTTTTTTTTTTGCCCCACCCAACCCTCTGCTTGTTTTTTTTTTGCGTGTGTAATTATTCTACACATTTTCTCTTTGTTTTTGTTGATTGATTCGATGTTTTAGACAAACTAATCATTCACCTCGAGATTAGTTTTGTTTGGTTTGCAAAGTCTGATGATATTTTATGTAATTCTATTTTTATCTTTGTTTTTTGTTGTTGTTGTTGTTGTTGGTTTTTTTTTACAAGAATCATCTTGTGTTAGCCAGGACATCCTGAGTGGATGCAGCCGGCGTCCAGAGTTGTGAAAGAAGTGCACTTCATATCACTAGACTGCTGATTTAAAGACTTTTAAGTTAATTGTTAAATGGATGATTAAAGCCTATTGTATCTACTACCACATTTGATTCAAAGTAGTCTGCAAAACCTTTCAGCTGCCCATACTTTTCTGTCTTTTGAAAGTGACTTTGACCTTTTCAGGATTACTTAAAGTACTTCAGTGGTATATAAAAATATTAGAATGATATATGAAGAAAAAAGGGAAATAATCCAGTAAATTCGTGGCTCTGGGCCTGAGAGGTTTATCCTCCTTCAGCTAACTGCTGTAATTCTGTATGCTAACTTTTTAGTTCATACTCCAGGAATATCTTTCTTTGTTTTTGTCAAACTATAATGTTAAGTCAAGATGACTTGTATTGGAAACAAAACAGAATTTAGCTTTTTTTTTTCTTAAAAGAAGGACAACTTTCACATTGTAAACTTTTTCTATCTTTTTCAAATAGCAATTATCACAGTTACCATGGCTAGCATGATACAAACAGAGACCTCTGTGTTTAGCCTATTATCTTATTACCAAAACTCTTCAATTTTCAAAATTCCTCAAATCCGACAGCTCCGTGACAAACAAAAATATCTAAAAGCACAAAAAGGGAGAGGTTTTTATACTTTTTAAGGATTAGGACAGTCCACCCACATAGCTGCCACAAAGTTAGGCAAGCATAGAAAAACTGAACTGGATAGTTGTCAATACACAAATACAGAAAAAATAAAGAAAATTGTGATTCCTTATTTTCCCCAAAATTCAGCTAAAACTCTGTATGTGGTGCATTGTCTTGTCAGCTGATTGTTTCATTGTTTGGGTTTCACCAAACAGAAATCACACGGGGTTTTGCTTCTTAACATATTTACTGAGGCCAAGTTGGTCAGAAAAACTAAAATCTGTTGCAAAATCTTTTAATAACGCGAGTATTTTTATTCTGTTGGCGTGTCCTACGAACACCGAGAAACGGTGCTGGAGAAAAATGACCTCTGATACGGTGACAAATATCAGCGACTTTACTAAAGGGCATAGTGGGGATCTCTTATGTTACTATTTTGCCCATCCAGGTACGCAGTCAGTCCACCCACACAGCTGTCAGTACCTCTTGAGTCAGTACTTCTTTGCTTCTGCACATTAATGTGACTGATCCGAGTTTTGTGGGAGGTAATGTCTGACCTTCACTCAGCAGCTTCAGACAGGATGTCCTGCAGGTCTGTTACAGCGCACACAGGGCTGGCTGGCTGGCTCACTCTCGTATAGTTATCCTCAGCAAATCTTAAATAAATGGGAAGTAGGAGTAGTCTTTCCTTGGCTGTCCCCCAAATTGAATTTAGTAAGAGGAGTGATGAACTGCTCCTTTTTTTTTGTGCGTCTGCAGAGGTGAACACCATCTCTCTTCACCTGCTGCTCTCTGCACTTTCAAAAAGTCAATTTTTGTGAAATTTAGAAAGGCAGGTTCGTTTTAAGACTGATGACCGTGGATCTCTGAAATCTTATTAGTGCTGCTGAATGGATTCTGCAGACCTCTGGGTCAAAGAACTCACCACTTATAAAAGAGAGATGAACAACAACCACAAAAAAAAAGAAAAAAAAAAGAAAAATGTTCCCAATCATTTATAGTGATCCACACAGAGAGACACAGGGTTGTCCTTGTTAAAGTGTAGCTAAGATATGCCGAAAACCCGATTCGCCTGCATACCGATCAGCTTTATAGACACATGCTGGGTTGATATCTGCTGACACTGACAGAGCCTTCACACGTGTCTGATGGTGTGATGGAGAAACGACACTGAATGTGTCAAAAAATGAACAGGCCTTGTACATATTGGGGGTGAATCAGCAGTTCAAGGCCAGTACGATGTCATGACAACACAAGTCTGATTCCACTTCTTACTTTGTCACGTCACATACGTCTACTTATATTTGATTTGTTTTTTTCTTACTTTTTTATTATTCCCTCTCCCTGGATTCTTGGTCTTCTGCTGCTTCTACACTGTGTCGACGTTTTTGAAAGTTAGAAGATACATTGCAAATAAAAGAAAAGAGTTGCACAGGCCATTAAATGCTGATTTAATTCCAGTTACTTTGCAAATATGAGAGAACACAATTTAAAAGAAGTTTTATTTTTGCTAGCAACTTAAGAAAACAAATTTGGAGTGCAAGAAAAGCAAGAATCTGCAGGGTATGAAAATTCGTGCCAATATATTTATCCAATATTATTATTGACGATATAGCAAATAACTGGTAAGTCCCAATATTGTACATAGCATATATTTGGATGGGGAAAAAAATAAAATTTGGTGCATGGAAGTTGCATAGACATTTGAATTACCCATAGTTCAGGATCTTTTTCTAACATTCCTTTTATATGTGGATCAAAAGAAAAAAAAACTATAAATACACAGCTTTTCAGATATTGTCAGTGTATTTATCCATTATATCTGTAACAACACTCAGTAAAGAATGTGACAATATTCTAAGCAGCAGTAGTAATTGTAGTAGTGGCATTTCACACAGTTACTCCCTCCAAGCATTTAGCATAGTAATTACAAACCCGGAGCAGCTGAATTATCATTGCCTTTTGTTCCATGAAATAATCCCATCTCCCTCCAAATCCATCCCCCGATCACAGAATTAATAATGCAGCCGCCAGATCCTCGCATGCTTATAATTGTAAATGATGTTCCTGTCATTAGTTTTTCATCGGGTAATTATTGCGGTGCCTCGAAATAAATGCGATAATGTGGTATTGATAATGAAATGGAGCATGTTAAAGAGCTGCGAATCAAAGTCCCGTGGAGTTTTCCAACAGCGGTTGTTTCAAAACATTTTTTTTTCTTTTTTCCTGGGCACAAAATCCGCCTCATTTTTCACGTGAATTATGAGTCTCTTTTTGTTTTTTCTTTCTTTGTAGAATTTAACCTTTAGCTGAAAAACAACAAGAAACAGAAGCACATGCAGATTGTACTATATATAGTAAAAGTGGAGCGAGGCGACTGGAAACAGCCCACGCAGTCTGTGTTCATATTATTGCAGGGCGATGGCATCATGCACCAACAAAGGTGACACCACAGGTATTTAAGTCTTCCGCTGCTGTTTTTTTTCTCCCTCCCTTGGTGTTTCTTTTATCTCCTCACTGCCACTCCTCATCTGCATTCATCTTTCCCGAATGATCATCTGCGCCGCGCTGCTCATCACCTGCGTTTTTCATCTCCTGTCATATGATCTCTGAGACCGGCTTGATGCCCAGACCAACTGCTTCCTCCCGTCGATCTGTCAGCCTCGCCCTGTTTCGTGATCGTCCTTTACGCTTGCATACAACCCCAAAGCTCATCTCGCTGCGTGGCTTTCTCTTCCTCTGTCAAGAGTTTTTCTTTCCACTCGACCAATCCGGCACTTTTAGTCTCTCCGTCAGAAGTAATAACTTCTTGATTCCAGTCTTTCCCTCCTCGCCTCACTCTTTGTGCTTTCCACATTTGGTCATTTCACGACTGCAAAGCGAAGTATGTCGTATTTTGGGTTTTTCACTGTGCCAGACCGATTCAAGGTATCACATACTTGGAAAATGAAACAGAAAAATCTGAAATGTGTGTAAATGGCTGCTTTTTTTGGCAGAATATATAACAGTGCAGCCAATGGCCTTATTAGTAAACACTGAGTGATGGAAACCTCTTATCATGTCGCTTAAAAATGTAGTACAGTTTTAAACAAGTAGCAGAATCCAACTTCCAAAGTACCGCTAAACCAAAGTGACCGACACTGAGACGGTTTTAGGCAAAATTAAACGGGAACTAGTTGTACTTTAAAGTCTACCACAAGCCAGATAGGATTCAAATGAAACTTAAATTGAACTGCGAGTTGTACGTGGCAGAGACAGCTAGCAGTCACACATCACTCCGTCCCGCTGTTTAACACACCCAGAGCCACCATCTTTGGTTCTTGCAGCAATGTGCTCCGGGGATGTTTTACTTTAGCGCAAATAAGGAATTTAGTCAGAATGAAAGGGAAGACGAATGTAGAAAAACACAGGAAAGTCCTGAAAGAAACTTTGTTTCACAAGGTTTGAGGCTGGGGGCCGCCGTCCAGCAGGACATCACCCTCAGTCAGACATGCAGCCAGATCAGCTTTAAAAGTTGCTGAAAAGTGGTCTTTTCATTTGCACTTATGCTATTGTGTCTAACTTTTCCCTGCACGACCTTCACCACGTTGTTGCTTGTTATTCTCTCCCTCCCTCTCTTTTCCCTTTAATGTCGGCACCATTTCTTTACCTCTTATCTATCATTTCCTTTTGTCTCTTTCTGATTGTCTTCTGCCATTAGCTCACCGGTCTCTCCCGCCTTCCATCTGTTTTTCTTTCAGGCTCTTCGCCTCTCCTTCATCTTTTCTCTTCCACCGTGTCCCTGTTCTCCTCTCTCCCTCTCTTTCATTGACATTTCTCTGTTTCTCTCTCGCCCGGTGTCTTTGTCTTTCACTCTCTGGGTCTCTCCACCATCTTTGGCTCTCCTGGCCCCCCTCTCCATCACCGCCGCCGCTGCTCCACTCCATCACCACCTTGCACACAGCTTTACACAGAGACTTTTCTCATTAATATTCTGCCTGTGTCAGTCTCCTTGGAGTTGTCTGAGGGAATCAAATCCACCTGCAAATTCATCTTTTTATTCTTCTTATTCCCCCTCCAACTCAAGGTCTTATTCGCTCCTTCATTCTTCTTCTCCTTTCTTCTGTGCATTGTGAGCAAAACTAGCAGTCAGAAAAATTATCCATGATTTTATAAATACAGACATAAAAACGGGGCGTACCTTCATCATCAACCTAAAATAGCTCTTTAGAGCTGAATGTCTTCCGCTGGAAGCTATGTCCCCTAAAATAAAAGTTGAGGACGTAACGTGGAAATGGGAAGTGGCGCGTTATAAATAAAAGGATATTACCAAACAACGACAGAAAACGACTTTCTAGTTACTCCAGTGGACGCGTGAAGCTTTTGTATTTTTCTTTCCATTGAGATGTATTGTCAGTCACCGCAGGCAAGCAAAGCAAATAGTGAAGAGGCAACTAATGCATGAGTTTACCACGAATAGATTTATTCTCCTGCGAGATAGCATTTCTAAAAAGGCCATGGGAGTACGACTCCGAAAGAGCGTGGACTCACTCATGAGCTTTTAGCTGCTCAGTCTGGGACAATAACAGGTGATGGTGGAGTGGAAATCCCCTTTGCAGGCCAAGAATGGCTTTTCTTCTGGAGCTCATTCAGCCTCCTGGACGACAAACAGGATGGTTTTGTTCTAAGACAAAAAATAGAAAGTGAATCTTTTATTCGTGAGGTCAAAAAAAAAAAAAAAAAAATGCCAATGACGTTGGGTCTTTTCTTTCTTCTTTTTTTTTTTTTTACTTTACTGAATTCTACAGTGTGGGCCATAAGTTTCCATACATAGGAGAATGTAAAATGTATGTTTCTTTTATATTTCAGATGCCCAAGAAGATGTGTTTGACAAAAGATCAAAGAAGTGAAATGATACTGATGGCTGGATCGGGAAGCAGTCGCATGGTTGCACAAAACTTTAACAGAAAACATGGAACGAGCATCACACACACGGCACTGTGGCAAAACTTGTTTGCAAGTTTCAGAAAACTGGAAATGTTGCGGATCAACCATGAAGCGGTGCAAGACGTGCAGCGATTACAGAGTCCCACAAAAATAAAAACGGTCGTCCAATTTAAAATGTTTATTTTTTCTATGTATGGAAAACGTATGGCCCACACTGTGTAAGATTTTATTTATAGACGTCAGAGTAAAGGGGAACATAATCCACACTTTGTATTAAAAGCACTGAATATTTTGTGTCATTTTCATTCCATTTGGCAAACACGGGTTATTTTGTGTTGGTCTATCACTTGAAATCATAATCAAATGTGGTGTTTGGTAGTAATGTGACAAAATAAATGATAAATAATTTTACCTGGCCTTTGTCCCTTCATGCATTTGCAAACTGTGATGTGGCTCATTCTGTTGCTTTTGGAGTTATGGATTTTTCCTTCCTTCCTTTTTCCCTCTCTTCAGCCCATGTGGGCACAAATCTTGTTTCAAAGTAGCCAGCATCTTCACAAGGGCATTTGTTTGTATTTCTGCCCATTTTATACCTTAACCCATTTATTCTTCCCGAATGGTCTGATGACTGGCACCTTCAGGAAATTATACCTTTATAGAGGACGAACCAGATGGATGCTGATATAAATATAGATGATGTCAATTTAAAGTCCTAATATTGACACAGTGTTGATGTAAAGATACAGATATAAGTCAGACCAGAAGTGAAAGTAAGTCTTCAGTATAAATAACCATCTGATCCAAAAATGCCAGGCGTTTAAATCCACTGCATGTATAATACTGAATCCTCAAGAGCACTTAAAATGCTTCAATTAAATCTGGCATGTTCTTCCCTCTATGTAACAAACACACGCGGGAACAAACCATCAGGAATAAGGCTGAATACTTGTAGCAGCACGCTGTTGGTTTTTGTTAACATCAAGGCAGAAGCAGAAGGGTCAGGGGCGTTCATTCAGATTAGTGGGTTAAAATTTGGATCCAGGTGACTGCTGGAGATAAAAGCTGCTCGTATTCACAGAGCTGCCCATATTAAGTAAGAAGTGGACTTGGAGTCACAGCTAAGACATGAAGAGGTTTTCACTGAGACATGCGGTTTAGCTGCATAAGCAACAGGTTAGCCTCTGATTTCTGTTAGTTCAACACTGAACTGCTCCAGTCACATTTTAACACACTCTGTAGTGGCAGAGTTATCTGTCTGGTCGGGAGTTCAGAGTAAATGGAACGCTACTTTACATTATTAAGTAACTAAAGCTTGAAGTGGCAGCATCTTGGAGTAGCGCTAAGTTAGTTCAGATTTGTGCTTTTTGTTGATGTTTGTAGGTCATTTTTGTCTTTGGATGAGGCGATATACGTTTGGACAGTAATTCCTTCTGGTTTTGGATGCTGTGTACAGCTGGAAGGATTTTCGCTCTTACTTTTTAGCTTTTGAACTGTTGTTCAAATGTGTAACCACGACAACAAGGTTTTTTTGTTTGTTTTTTTTTTTACAGCTGGGAGCAGAAGAGCGGTTATAAAGGTCGATTTTAGCCTCACCTGACCAAAAAATGTCCTTCATATGTTTAATGTGGAAAATATCAAGTAAGCCTTTTGGCTTTCTCTCAACAAAGGCTCACTTTTTGACACTTGTCCAAGAGGATCAAAATATCCATGTACACGACTAGCAGTTCTTCAACGCCTCTGAAGCTCCTCCATATGTAATGAAACTCTTGGCTGCAGCTTAGGCAGACTGCCATGGTTTGGTTTGTCATACACGTTAAAATGTATTTGATAGTTCTTTGTGAGATCTTCAAATGTTCTCTAAACAAAGATCTAAAGCCTTTACAGTTTGATTTCTACTGAGACTGAACTGTTCTCAGGTTGACTGTATTTCTTTTTAAGAGTAAAATAGGCACAGTGAATGTGCTTGTCACACTTTTCAGATTTTTTTTGTTTTTTTTTTGTAGAAAGCTTTTGAAAAAAAAAAAAAAAATCAGTATTGTTTCCTCCACACCGTATTTATGCATTTCCTTGCTTCCTGCAACAGCAAAAGAAGAGCAGCCTACGCAAAGAACAATTACCACAGCGACCTGTCTTGGCTTCTTCGTGATAGATCCTGGAGCTCCTTTGAGCTGATTCACACGAGGACGAGTAGCAGAGGCTCCGTGGTTGGAGATGAACTCCACGGACATCAAAGCCGCTTCTACAGCAGCGCCACAAGGAGAGTTTAGAGTCTGGAGCAATTAATGCTGGCACACAGAGACGTCTCTGTCCAAAGCTGCTGGGAGAGAACAGGGGCTTTGGTGGAAATACATATCCCACCTGTGGGGTGGTGCGGTGATTAGTGCTATCACCTCACAGCAAGAAGTTCCCTGCTTCAGACCTCGGCTTCAGGTATTCCTTTGGAGAATTTGCATGTTTCTTTTGTGGCTGTTTGAAACTTTCTTCTTTGCGCAGTCTAAAATATGAACACTTTTGGTTTGCATCCACCTTATTAACTGACTTTGCTCTGTGCATCTGAGGAAGCAGCTTATAGTTACTGTAGGATGGGAAATGAGCAGCCTAATGAGTGCTTCTGTCCAGCGTTTGAAAAATATGAACCAGAGATGCATTCCTGTGTTCTGCATTTCACAGTCAGCTTGAGGTGAGTTTTATACAGAGGCTGCTGAGGTGTTACCTGTTTACATAATTTGTCATTTAAAAAAAAACCCTATCAGAATACTGAATGGGAAAAGGTAACGAGTTCATCATGTTTAGTTTATTAAAAATCTATTATGGTTTTTTAAAGAACATTTACCAAATGTAGCATCACATGGATAACATAATTCATTCGATCTAAATAGTCTCATCTAAGAGTTGCACAAATTTCTTCAAAGAAAATGTAGTAACATTGCAGCATATGTGTTTTCTCAAATAAACCCTACCCTGCTGTTTACTCCGTGGCACACCAACCCCAACTCAACCCTACATGCACTCTGGTCTCCTACTGAGCAGACATTATGCATGTTTTATATTCACTTTGTTCTGTTGCTCTTGGCAGAGCATGTTGCATGCTGGGTGCATGTAATTCATGGTGAAAAAATGTATATTTGGCAATAAAGCTTTGTGATTCTGACTCTGGTGTTAATCAGCTTTTCCTTATCTTTCTGGTCATGTGCATTGTGTTCAGCTTTGAGGTTGTTCTCACTATTACTTGGATGTCATAAAAGGTGTTCCTCAAGGCTGTGTGTTAAGGCCAAAATCTTCTATAAATTAAATTCAAAATTTTTGGTCTGATGCATTTCTCCATGTCTTTCCGTTTGACATATTTATTATTTACCGCTCTGCAAATGTACTTGCCCTGGGATCTGTTGGTTGCGTTTGACGTTACTCAGTCACATTGATTCACCTGAAATCGGTACCAAATGCTGAATAACAAAAATCAATAAATAAGTTAAGAAAAGTTAGATTACTTTATTTGAATGCTGCTGTTTGCACTTTCAAGTCTGTCCATCCAAATAACCATAATTATTAAATAATAAGACTATAAAACAATATTTTTGGAGCTGCGATATTCATTGCTTTACATTGTTTTAGCTGTAACATCAATAAGGTTGTTATAATGTGAGAACCTTTTGTCCTTGCCTAGCTGGAGAGGAATATTTTCATTCACAAATAAATTACTGCTGAAATTAGTTCCCTATATGTTACTGAATCAGAGCAACTATAGTCTCTACTCGTGGCATTTTATGGCAAACAATGTTCCTTTATACACACAAGACTTAGTGAAAATGACTTTTTCCTGTGAAGCCACTGTCCAGCCTAATTAGAGTGGATGACTTTAAGCCCATTTAAGGACAATAAAGAAAACATCAACGGATGGTTATTTCTTTTTCCATCCATTTATTGCAAGCCTCTCGTGTTGTTATTACCTTTATTACCCTGTATGTTTGTATAAGAAGGTCTCTCTTGTATGTGATGATGGGCTATAAGGAACTAATGCAGCCCATTAAAACTAGAATTAACTAAATTATCAAGGGCTTGGAGGGAATCCTCCAACTCATACCGACTTCCACCTTGTCAGGTTAAAAAGTTAATATTAGCTCGTTCATCTTCAGAAAAAAAAAAAAAAACAAAGATTTTTCACAAGATGTAATTTAATTTCTCCGTCTGGAGCAGCCCCTTGCTATTTTGTCTGATTACCCTTCCCATTGTCCACAAACAGGAGCTATCTCACATACGTCTTGGAAATCTGGGATTTTTCTGGTCCGCACATCACCAAAGTACATCCAAAAATCAATACTGAGACATTCATGAAGTCATTAAAGCCTGAGGGCAGCTATTGCTTAGACACCAGAAGGTTGATGATTTGTTTCCTTGACTTATCTCTTTTTCCAAGAGGGGAGCTAATACCCCCCGTTCACAGCAGAGGCTTTTAGTAAAACCACCGCAACTCCAACTGCTCAGATGGCATTGCATTCGGCATGTGCATTCTCTTTATTCATCATAATGCAGGAATAAGCATTATCTGTCTAATTTTGATGATTTCTTTACTTTTCTCTTGTTAATCTGCCAGGGGTTTGTGGAAAGAAAACCAATCAGATTTGAATCTACATCATGATTCTCACAATGAACATTTTCACCTTTTGTCTCCGAGCAATCCCATAATTCAGGGTTATTTTATTGGCATTTTATTTGCTGGACTGGAACATACAAAAATCTAATTGTGAAATGTGGGAGGACATTTTTACATTGTTCTAGACAAAATAAGTAAAAAAAAATAACACAACTTTCCATTTGTTTACAAATTGATTTTCCTATTGTCAGATTTGCTACTACAATGTGTGAAGCAGAAGCTAGAAGAGAAGGTAATTAGTTTGAAGAGGCTGATTCCTGGTTGAATTTAGAGCTGCGTAGCTTCAAGTAGGATCTCTGAGACATTTGAGAAAAAAAAAAAGGCACTCACATTTGGAGCAGACCCACTTCATCAGAAAAAATGGTCTATTGTTGTATAAAACGACCTTTCGCCAAGCTAGGGCAGAGTATTTGTCATCGTTAATCAAGGTGAACAAGAACAATCTTTCTTTTAACTTACACAGAGCCGCAGCTCTTTGGAGCTGTCCATTCGCTCGTCCCTCAGCACCGATGACCTCATGGGATTCTTTAGAAATGAAATGAATCCTTTAAAAAGTAAAACCGTGGGTATCCTCACAAACATGATAAATCAGGTTGTATTAGAAATAAAATGTGTTTAGGGTATGTGCAGTGTTGACACACAAACTGCTTTACATGTAGGTTGGAAAGTTCACTTTTGGTCTCGTCTGACCAGAACCTCTTCTTCCTACAACCGTTACTTTCTTCTTATTTGAAGGCCGGGTGTGTGGAGTTCACTGACAATAGTTGTCCTCTTAACAAATTGTCTCATCTGAGCTGTGGACCACGGCGCCTCCTCTCAAGTTACCAAGTGACTCGTCGCTACTTCTCTGATAAACCCAGCACTTGGCCAATCTTTCAGTTCATAAGATTCCAATATCTTGGTGGGTTTACAGATCCATTTATGGATTCAACATTTTTTATAACCTAAACATGCAATAAAATTCTCATAATCTTTAACCTTGACCGTGCTGTGTGTTCCTTGGTCGTCTCTGTAAAACCCCCATGGCCTTCAAATTTGCGCTGAAATTAAATTACATGTACATAAAATCTATTTACTAATCCATTGACTGCTGAAAGCAGCTTTTTTAATTGGATTTTCTCCAGAGTAGAGGAGAATTATATCACATTAAGTTACCTCTACTGAACTAACATTTTGAAATGAAAGTGCTTTTGTAGGTATTTTTACTGTTCCTTGAATAATATCATTTTGAAGTAAATCTATTCTTACCTGAATGCAATATTTGGTTATTCTATCCACTTCAGTCGCTCCTCTGAGTCAAGAACAAGCACCAAGCAAGCATCAGACGGAGACAGACACCCACACAGACGTATGACACAAGCTGTATCTACACAAGCTGCTTGTTTCCTAATGATACTTTCTGTCTGCAGAGCTTTCTGTGCCATATGGACGGCAAGTGAATACGGTGTGTACAGCTGATCTCGTTACTGGAAGCAGGATTCGCTATATGTTACCTACTGCTAATGTTTGGATGTATGAGTTTTGAGATTAAGCCCTGTCAGAGGAGAATCTTGTTGATCTTCCCAAGGTTTGTCTGTCTTTAGATCTTGGTTTCTGTTACTTTTTTTTTTTTGTAAAAACAAAAACAGGTAGTTTTGTTTTTACAGGTGTTTTTCTGCCCTAATTTGAATATCAAAGATGTTATTCACACTGATTCACTTTTTTAACTTATTATTAGGAAATAATAATAAATGAGATTTTATAAATTTGACTGTCAGATAACGTCGTTTCTGAAAAATGATGACTCAAGTAACACTTGAGTTGTCTTTTAGCCAAATAATTGTTGGTACTTTGTTGATGACGTCTCTTGGCACGGAGAATCTTTGACTAGTCCACCCAACAGTGCAGGGGTAAAAGATTAAAAATGCTTTCATACAATATTTCATAAAATAGGTACCATATTTTAAAAATCCTTTATCATTTCCCCTTCACTGTTTATGTGCCACTATCACATTAAATCCCAACACAAAAGCTTGAAAATGTTCAGCTGTACAATCACAAAATGCGAACAAAACGAATAAAAAAATATTCAGGCACTGCATATTCTCTCAAGCAGGATGAAAAGAAATGCTTGAGCATGAAAATCTGTGCCTCCTATCTGAGCAGGTGTTTATCAGGACCTGGACTCCGTCTGCCTCTCTAACCATCCCTGCTTTGGCTCTGCAGCACAGCACTTCAATCAAAACAGGATGCAAAACAGAAGCCATTTTCCCATTGTGTGGACGTTCCGGGATGGCAGGAGATCTCCATGTATATGACCTGAAATTGCGCGCCGCTGGTGAGTAAATTTAGCTGGCCGAGAGCAGACTGCGCTCCATCATTCCACCTCTTCGTCCCTCCCTCCCTCCCTCCTCCTCCTCCTTCTCCCCTCTATCTTTCTGACAGGCCAGTGAGTCTCCTGGTGAGAGCTGACCTTTCTCCTGAAGGAGAGACGGAGCGAGAGGCGGCAAATGAAGCGAGAGGAGGAGTGATGGGGCTAAATGAGTGAATGATAATTCACTGGGATCGACAGATAATTGTAGGAGAGAGATGCATGATGTCGGGATGGGCGGTGAAGTGAATGAGAGACGTGGTAATGTGTTTGCGTGTGTTGAGCATCACACTTGGTAAAATTTGAAGAAAAGGAGGAGTGTGTGTGTGTGCGTGTGTGTGGAGGGGGGCTGCCATATGCTCATTCTAGAGTGTGTGTGGGGTGAACTGATGGTAAATAGAGATATTTGGAGCGTTTGTCTTGGCATCACACTGGGAGAGGCTGTCTGCTTCTGTGCATTATGACATCAATGGTTTACCCTCAAAAAAATTACACACAAACACACACACACACACACACACACACACACACACACTAAAACACAACAGTGAGTACAGCTGGTTAATACACAGTTGCTGCTTGGCTACACCCAAAGCATGCATTTACATGAAAATGCACACATGATTGCAAGCTGCAGGTGTATGGCACTTAGAAACGCACACACACACACACACACACACACACACACACACACACTTCTTGCTGCAGTCCTCGGTATACACACACACACACGCACAAAGTTACACACAGCGTCAAATGCAAACGCACTCAAGTGGAGCGAAAAGAAAACCTGTTAACACTCTCAGAGGGAAACGTGCTAGACGCTGAAGTACTTGGGAACAAATTGTAGAGTGGTTACACAAGTATGCAGGTTTAAAATTTTGTGCAGGAGATTTCAACCTGAATGCATACTGTCCCGCAGGGACTTAAAAACGAGCAGTGAAAGAGCAAGAAGGATCCTCAGAGTGATAAAAACCAAAAGCTGGAGATGGTTAAAAATATTTTTACAGCAGATTAACAATATCTGGATATTATCTTTGAGAAGTAAGTGAAATAGCAGAAGACCAGAGAGGAGGACTCTGTTGAGTTCACCCCATGGTTCTTTAAAAACCAACTTACTGGTCCAAAGATGCTATTTTCTGTCTTTAAAACTGTAACCTTTACTATTTTTGATATGTTAAACTAAACAAAATGGGGGAAATGAGCCTCAAAAGATGTTCTCTTCATAAAGTTTTGCCCATCCCTTTCACCTGATGGATGGGCAAGTTTCATATCGTTTATCATTTATCGTGATAAATTTCTTATCATGATGAGAATTTTGATTTATCATTGTCTCAATAAATGCCGATTAGTGATATTTAAAAGGAATAAAAAACTGTCTATATTGTTAGTTTTATAGTGATATTTAAAAAGAAAAAAACAGTTCTTTTTCAATATAGTATTACTATTTTCTCCACTGATTGTTCATTGAGTGTATCAAACAATATCAATAAATTTGAAAATATGTTTAAATGCAGTTACTACGTGCCGCTAAGTGATGCAAATCACACTTCTTTATGTGGCTGGTGTCCTAAAGAAGTGATTCAATTTTTTTTTTTTTCCAAGAGCAGAATTTGTATTTGTGGGGCTGTGATTGTTGTTATGCAGTCAGTCATATGGTTACCTAAAAAAGAAGAAATAAATAGTTCTTACAGTCAGTTTTATTGTAATCACAACAGCAACACAAAACATAGCATAAATAATAAAACTTTTAAGTCCGTATCGCCCACCACTAGTTCATCCTGAATGATTTCTGTTTGAATTGTCTCAATTTTCTGTTCTCAACAAATACGATATTCACCTGTAGCTGCTGTTGCCCTTTCCGTAATATCAAATCCATTCTCCTCTGACCTCCATCATCAACAAGGCGTTTCCACTAACCCCTCGCCGGACATCGTCTCTTTTTCGGACCAGTCTCTGCAAACCGCAGAGATGGCGGTGCCTGAATAATCCCAGCAGATCAGATGAGTCTGAAATCAGCAGACTGGCCCGTCTGACAGCAACAGCCGCGTCACATTCAAAGTTACATGAACTACTTTTCTTCCCAACTCTGATGCTCAGTTTTAACGTCTGCAAGTTGTCATCCCCATGTCTTAGATCCCTGAATGCGTTGAACTGCAGCAGTGTGACCTGAAAAGGTCCGGAAGACCTTCAGAGAGCCAAGCGCACTACTTTTATAACTCCTGCAGGCAGACATGAAAGTAAGGAAAGATTTCAGAAAAGTGCATTACTCGGTTTGTCATCGGTCTGTCTCTCTTCTGTCTGATAAAGTCTAAGCTCTTTTAAAATATGTTTATCAACCTCTCACTTTTTTGTTTTAATTCTAAAAATTTGAAAGATTTATGTGGTCTGTCACATCCAAGACGCCAACGCCTATCAAGCCCTCGTACGCAGATGCTAACCTTTCTTCATTCTTTTTTAGAGGCCGCAGACACTTTAAACCACTATTTTATCCAACGTTGAAGTTTGTATGCATGAAACGCGGAGTCATCAGTTTTTTCCATTTCTTGGTAAAAGACTGCACTGGCTGTAGGCTAACAAAGTTGAGAGGATTAATGCAGTCCTTTGCAATAAAGATTCAAAGTTCAGCACCTCTAGCCCGAGGCAGTTCTCTCATTTGCAAGAATGTTTTATACATAATACGGAGGTCTGGCAGAGACAAAATCAACCTAATTGTCATCCCAATGGTCACATTCCATGGAAAGGATGCAGACGTTCAGCAGGAGCAGGTTTTAATAAGCCGTCTTTGGAGTTTGAATGGGCAGTTAGCTGGTGATATCGAGGCGACTGCAGGGTTTGGATGTAATGGCTCTGCGTTACCCGGTTGCTGTTAGCGTTTCTTTTTTTTTGGGGGGGGGGGAGGCTGGTGAAGTAAATGTAAGCTATTATAATGAGCTCCAGACACAAAGGTGTGTGCTGTGATGCATCTATGTTTGAGACTCTTATTTGAAATATGAAAGGAAGTGGTTTTTGAGCGGACCGGCTGACAACGGTCGGTTTCGGAGCCTTCCTCACCGTTTAAAGGATTTGTGTGGGTGCATTTTGGGTAATTGGAGGACAAAATAATAAAAAATAAACACATAGACCGAGTGACAGGCAAGATTCCAACAATTGGCTAACACTGTGACCATACCGCAAATGGCCAAAAATTTCCTGCAATTACTTTATATCTGCACTAAACAATATGAAATGTGATAAAAGCTTAACTGCTTTTCTTTAAAACCAAGTTTAAAGGTTTAAGAAACATCTTTTTAAAAACACAAGAGAGAGTTTCCAGTGATGTACAGCTCCTGCTCTCTGTATACCTGTTGGTTTCTCTACCTGTTGGCATGGCACATTGGATGTATTGCTGCAGTCACTCACTGAATCAGAGGTAGACAAAGTGAATAAATCACAGCCTCTTGTCTGAAAATATCTCCTGGTGTGCTGTAAACATCTTAAGCTGATGATATCTAACAGAATAAAAGAGACTGAAGGAAGGTTTTTTTTTTCCCCCCGATAATCCTCGGGTGAAGTCGTGTTTCCTAATACTATCCATCACCTCATTCCCTGGAATGTGTGTGAAACAGATTGTGTGAGATACTGCAAGTGTGTGTGTTTGTGGGGGGGGGGACATAGAGCTGAATCGCAGAGATAGAGGAGAGAGGAAGAAAGACGGAGAGAAAGAAAGAGAAAGTGAATCATTCCCCTGAACAGACCACCTCGACAGCGTGATATCAGATGCATTATTTGATGATTGGATCGCTGGCTACAAAAGCTGATAGATCTCCGCCTGAAATTGATTTCTGTCTGGATGTGACTCACACATACACACGCACACACGCACACACTATAGGCAGTGAAACAGAAAGCCAGGAGAAACTAATTACCAGTTCACAGAGAGCCTGAGAAGCCTGAATCTGAGTGAAAACACCTGAAGGACTGGCGGGCTGGCAACTAGAGACAAAATAAATTGGGAAATTAATGTTCTATTATTGGAGCGGGGATGTGTGTAGGCCGGTGGGTTCTCTCAGATGGATGGTTTGATCACCTCCAGGGTTGCTTTCGGTCATTTCAGGGGCAGTTTCTATTGAACTATGAGGCACACTGCCAGTCAAACTTCAAATGGCTGTTTATTAAAGTGTAAATGGCAGCGATCAAATGATTTTCCCGTTGCTTCTGGCTTGTTTAGGGTTTCATTCATTTTAAACAGCACGGTGCCTTCGGCCCGGACATTTTCCTACTCCGTGGTCATCAGGCTGTGCGCAGAAATGCTACATTCACCTTTCGGTGCCAGCTGTATCACTTTTGAAATCTAAGTGTTTGTGATACTTCTAGCACTAATTTAATACAGCAGACCCCCCCAAGTCTGCTGGATTAAATAAACATTTTGGACTTACTTTTTCACAGTGTATCTGTGCATACTTAAAAAGGCTTAAATGTACTTATCTAAAAATAAGGCCTTAAAATGTCTGAAATTCATTAAGAAAAAGTAAGTTGACCTTAATAGTCACAGATCTTAACTTTTTTTCTGGCAGGATTATTCTGAGATGCAGGGAAACATCCTCGCTCTGTTCTGCAACTCGAGGCGGTTGAGGCTACTGCTAACTAGCTGCTAACTTAAGCCTTTTTGCTTCTACCAGGGGTAAGTGTACATTTATTGCTGAAATGTTACCCGCAGCGTTTCGATTGCAAGATGCCTTCTCCACCTATACTACTTTAAATACTTTGTATAAAGCATCCAAAAATATATGTATTTTTCTAATAACAGTCTTCAAGCACAACTAAAACTATTTGTGGAAACGAGGCTTTCTGGTGTGGAAGTGGAAGGTGGGGGCTTTTATTCTGCTGAGTAATTCACTCACCTTCATTTCATACAATAGTCTTAAAAATAAATGACTTTTTAATAGTACTAATCTTACGAAACGCTCGTTTTAATGTTGACAGAAGCTGGACGCATATTTTCCCCTTATAGGTTTTTACTGTTGAATTTCTTGACTTGTTCGAAGAGCACGTAACTTTATACGTCATATGTGCACAAGCAGACATTTGCAGGCCAACATGTTGGCTTGCATGGTGTGAATATGAAACATTTGTGGATGTGGGATCTGTAGATAATCAAATGTTTGATCAGTTTTTACATTTTGATGAGTTCTGCTGATTTAATAAAGGTAGGACCTTCTGCTTTCAGCGAATAAATTGTCATATATGACATTTCCTATTTCTCACTTTCAGTTGAGGTTATGACCCAGGAGGGGCCCACATTTATTTTTTTCCATTTTAAACTATTGGCTTTTTTCTAGAGTTTTTAATGTGGAAATAAACAACATTCTTTATTGTTTCTGTCAAATTTCTGTCTAAGTATGTGTGATCATTAGATGAACAGATTATTTGATTAACTACATTTGAAAAGATAATTGACAAAGTAAAATTGTGAAAAGCTTAATCTTGTGGATTCTTTCTCTTCCTGTAATTCAAACTCTGTTGGTGGTTTTAGGTTGTGGGGCATGCTAATGATTCATAAGGTTTTACCAACACAAAGGAAGAAAAACAAGCAAATTTTAGAAATTACCACTAACTGACAGGAAAATGAGGCAGAGGCTCAGATTTAGTTCACAATAACAACTTGCTATACCATCTAATGTCACAAAATATAAATAACAATTGTCCTGATGTGCAGTAAACAGACATTTTTGAGCTTTTTGATAACAATTATGAATCCATTTCCTGACTGGTAGGTGTTTTTCTCAGCCCAGTGACAGAGGAAAAGCTGTTCGGTAACTGGATTAACTTCTAAAAGGGTTTTTTTTTTTTTTTTTACGTCCAAGCGCAAATCTTTCAGGTAGGAAATATTTAACAGAAGTTAGAATTTGATTCAAAGTTTTATTCTGACAGGTAAATTACTTAACAAGCCTTTACTCGGATGTCTAAACAGAAGCTATAATTTTAGATCAATGAAGACAGCAGAACCTGTTTTCGCCTTTGAGAGTAATTTAAAAAAATGTTTTCCAAAGTTTAACATGAAAACACGCATCCTTACCACAACTGTAGACATTTTAAGCACTTCCAGCTCAGAACCACGCCACTCAGGCATATAATTGTTTGCAATTTGTTAAATATGGCAACAATTGCTCATTGCTTATTAAAGGAGCGGGCGGAGATGGGAGACACTGGAACGTTGTCGTTTTTGAAAAAATAAAATCTACGTCCACACTTTGCGACGTCCCTTGCAATTTCCAGAAGGCATTTTTAGCCAACAAGGAAAACAGCTACTCACTTAATTTCTTTCACATCTTCAATCAGAACGACCATTAAAATGCTAAAAACCACTGGACCTGTTGACAAACGAGGCTGAACGAGGATGTGGGTTTAATGTCCCTTTTTCTTGATGCTGAGTGTGGTGTAGGGTTTATGATGCTGTGGGCCCGTTCCTGCTCAGACGGACCAGAGAACCTTTTTGGACTGTATGGAATTACGGACTCAATGAAATACCAGTTGACCTTAAAATAAAAAAATATATATTGCAAATAGTTGCAATAGTTGCACTCTCTATAGAGACAAATATCAGACAGCACAGACATTAAGAGGCTGATATAGGAACATGTCCAATCTGTCAAGAAGGCGATTAGCGATCTTTAGGTTCCCTCTCTGCAACATTTCATGTCCCGGCCGTGTAGGATAGTAACATTAGAGGTCATGGTGAAGCTGCTGTATCACCCTGTGTGTGTGCGTGTGTGTGTGTGTGTGTGTGTGTGTGTGTGTGTGTGTGTGTGTGTGTGTGTGTGTGTGTGTGTGTGTGTGTGTGTGATAGGTCGGGTTGGGGGCTACCTCTCTGTCAGAACTCTTCTGTCACACTCGGTAATGATCAAAGCTCTCCCAGGGACCCCCTACCATACAACCAGTCAACTGGACAGAAATTGCTCAGCCATGCAGCCCCCACGCTCCACACGCCTCATACAGGAACCCTCACACACACACACACACGCACACACACACACACACACACACACACACGCACACACACACACGCATACACACACATATATATATCCATACATTTTGCTGCACGTTACTCTCTCCTCCTCTGCTTTTTGTCATTTTCTGGTTTTCTTGTTTACATCACTCTGAGCATCCGTCTGCTGTCTCAGCTTCTCCAGTCTCGAGTTTTGTCTTTAATGTATCATCACTCGTCTTCCTCTCCTCTCCAGTTCACTGGTTTTTTGTAGGTTTTTTTTTTCTTTTTTTGGTCTAGATGTCTCCTATACACAGTCTTGCTTTTAATTTATTCCTACTTCGCTTGGTTTGTTGATAGACTCTGAGAGTTTTGGTTCAGCCTGTTTGCTTTTTGTATTTGCCAACATTCAGAGCTTCGGTCTCTCAAAATGTACTTTTTAATCCAAGTGACTGCAATAGAAGTGGCTTTTCTTTTATTGAAGTAAAACTTTGTCGACTAAAAATTATTCAGCTTTCTACCTATCTTTTTTGTTGTTGTTTTTCCACTCTCTGACTTTACATCAGATTAACATTACCTGTTTTAGGTCAGTTAAGGTGACCAAAATGATTTATATCTGCTAAACTCCAAAAACATGAGTTTACCCAAACTTTAGTGGCTCGGAGAATTACTTACTGCAAGTTGCTCAAACCCTCTAGAGTCCCTCTTGAAAACACAAATTACAACACATCTGTTCTAACCATTTGATATTTAATTAAAGGGCCATTGAAAGAACCAGATATACATCAAATGAAGTGGCTTAATATGCATGTATTTGAGTTGCTCTCACAAAAATACTGATCTCCCATAGAAAGTTTGTGGGTGGGAGTTGAAAATATGTTTTTCAGAAACCTGGCTCAGTCACTCCAGTTCTGTCTGGAGGAATGTGCGCACACTCCAAATGAGCATTTTGTCTTCAAAACTGATTTCGGAAGTGGGGGGGGAGAGAAATTGTGTGTCAGGATTTTAGCCATCCAGATCCTGATGATCAGAGCGTCTCCGATACAGCAGTTCTCGTGGGTTGTTCCTGGTCTCGATCAAGATGATTAGTCCAAGAAAGGAGCAGCGAGAGATTCACATGCAGCGCTGCTACATAAGGGGAGTAAAAGCTGGAAGGTGTGGCGTGATCCAACAGACGGACCAGTGCTGCTCAAATTGGCAACAGTGGTGCTCTTTGGGCAGAGGCAGGGTGACGTATGAGGAAATATTCTCCTGGAAACACTGGGGTTTATCATCAACTTAGACATTTACCACCTACCTCTGCATTATTGCAGGCCATATGCACGATAATGCTTTTTTTTTCTTTTTCTTGTTTTTTTTTTTCTTTTTACTGATTTCCATGGTTTCATTCAGCAAGAAACAGATTATTCCTCATAAAAGTGAAAATGGTCCAGGTTTGGTTTGGGGAGCAAAACAGAGAAAGTTTGAGGTGTTAGCTTGGCCTCCAAATTCCTCAGATCTGAATCCAATCGAGCTTCTGTGGGATGTGCTGGATAAACATGGAGGCCATTCCTCACAAATGACTGGACTTACAGGATGTGCTGCTGCCGTCTCGGTGCCAGATACCAGAGCACACCTCCGGGGTTCTGGTGAAGTCCTGGCCTCTACGGGTCGAAGCGGTTTTGACTGCAAAAGGAAAACTAACGGATGATAATGCATGTTATTGAACTTGAAGATATACTACTAAGCTGAACATTTGGCATGCTGATTTTAAAATGTTTTTATTACTTGCTTTTTGCTTTTTTTTGCTTCTTTTAATTACAACAGTCAGCACACATTTTCTTTCTTTTTCTTTTTTTTTTGCTGAGTGTTTTGTGCCTTTAGCTTACTGACCGTCTGTGGTTTACTGTTAGTCAGTTATTTAATCTTCAGAAATCTCAATGTCCAGATGGTCCATAAAGTATTTACAGATCTCCCTTTTAACAACAGAAATAGTGCAGTTCTATATATATATATATATTTTTTTACTCCTTGAAGCTGTAACTGAGCCAGAATCCCTCCAGTCATCTTTCTGTATTTAACCTTTTTCTCTCCTTAACACCACGAACCGATTCATGTTGCATCTCTGTCGCTTCCAGGAGGGAACCCAGCATTCCTCCTCCTTTTACGTCCTCATCCCCTCTTCCAGGCCCGGTGACAGACCACAGAGCACAGCGGCAGGAAGTGGAGCAGAGAAACGACGGAGCGCAGCGTGTGACTGGTATTAAACGCGTACAGCACACGCACTTCTGCAGCAATACAACAAAACCATCAGGAAGCTCCGTTTGTTTTATAACCTGTCGTCCCCTGAGAGGCTTTTCCACATTACTCACCCCTGATTATTCCACACATGTCTCAGACCTACAAGGCTGCCGTGGTAAAAGTCTGCTCATATTTTTAGCATTTGATTTCACCTCTTCCTGTCTGCATCAATCAAAGCCCAGTGTGCCGTCGGAGCGCTGTTGTGCCTTCACATTTTGATGAGCAGCATGAAAGTGACTGGGAAAGGAGAGCGTCTCCCATGGAAATGAACAAACGGTCCACAGTCGGACTCTTAACTTTCATAAAAGAGACTTTTACGTTAAACCCTTTCCGTAAAACCTGTTTGCAGTTCTTGAATGTCCTGTCAACCATTATTTCCGTGAGATCTGAGACTGTGAGGATGCAGTTTGTGCTTTTAGCTCGTAGATGAAATGCACAGTGCAGTGAATTTTATTTGACCGACACAAAGCAGTGCTTCGTTGTAAAGGGTAAAGAAAAATTACACGTGATGTTTGAATTTTTTACAAATAAAATACAGTATGTACATCCTCCAAGACTTTACAGAACCATCTTTCCATTCTATTGTGTGTTGAGACTGATGTGTTGCGTTTCCCTTCATGTAAAGCTTTGTGCATGGAGGCCAGAAAGTCCTATTTTGATCTCTTTCAACCAGAGCTCCTTTTTTCACACATTTTCTGTGCAAGTAAGCAGAAGTTCCTATGGTTGTCATTCAATAAATCTACCTGCCACTCATTAATAAAAGCCATATTTAGAGAGCGTGCATCAGTCTGCTTGATATTCTTGCTATGTGTTGAGAGACGATCCCGCTGTGGTTCTCTCCGTCTCCTTCAATGTCACCGTTGGCCTCTTCACTGCTTGTCCGATTATTGTGCTCCAGCTTCAGTTTAGATTTTCACAAAGTCTTACACTTCTAATTAAGTAGAAAAGTTGATTTGGTTCTGAATTTTGTGCCACTTTAGTTTCATTTCAATAGGGCCTTTCGTTTTAATCAGCATCTGTTGGGGCCTTTTTTTTCTCACATTGTTGTGTTTTTGTGTTGATTGTGTCCACTTAATGTTTTTTTTGTTTGTTTGTTTTTTTTAGCTTTTTCACACCTGCATCCACTGATCACTCACCTGCTCCTAATTCAAGCAACCTGTCCCCCTGAAGGTATTTAACACCTTCGTTTCCAATCAGCCGTTATCAGATCCACCTCTGGTCCCAGTTTGTTTCCTTTGTGTTCCCTGTACTGCTTGGCATGTCTATTTTTATTTCAGAGCTTGCACTTGTCTCTGGAAGCATTTTGGACCTCATTACAAGCTTATTTTACCTCAACCATCAGGCTGCCTGTGCCTCCTGCCTGCAGTTTGGGTGCTCCGCCACATCACACAGCTTATCATGATAGAAAGAACCAACTAAAAGCAAACGTCAGAGCTAGAGCTGCACAATGCACAGAATCACAATCATCATAATCTCAGACGATGGCTCGGATGCAATATTTAATATATATGCCTAATAATGATATATTTATCTTACTGGATGAACTCTCACTGCTGTAGCTGGTCAAGTCTAATAAAGATTTTACTGGTTTTGAAATCATGGAAAAAAGTTTTTATCTTTTTTTTTATCATAGCATTGCCTTCATTAAAAAAGACAGAGAATATTTGGTACACCATGAGTTAATTACAGTTGATGTTATCACTGAAATATTTAGCATTAATATTGCAATTGCATGTTTTCCTTGCACCCTGCAGCCCTAATTAAAGCCTCTGCAAATTATGCATGAGGTTACAATGTTTTCCATTGAAAAACAATTTTTTTCTTTATAGCTAACAATTCTTTGTAAAAGGTGATCATGTTCTTGTTCTCCATGAAATCAGATGCTCATTCTCTCCTGCTGCTCGACGTCTACGAAGAGATCTACCTGTCTGGATGTTCAGAAACTCCCTGAGCGTCTCGCATGTCTGCAACGACGACCAGCAACGGTTTAGTCGAGTACGGTTTGTAGCTTGAAATCCCTGGTTTAGGTAAAATTAGAAAGCCTGCTTAAATCTAGTGTCATATGTGGCAATGTCTTACAGTGCTTTTCACCAGTGCCGGACTCGCATGCATCACTCTGCCTTTAAACACCCACAACTCATCCGAGAGAAGCTCATTAGTGCTGGTTACAGCTGAGACCTGTCTGATGTCTGACACTACATGCTGTTTCAGAAGCTCCTCCATGCTGACGGTTTGGGGAGAGACACTTCAACAATAACAAGATAAAACTGGATTTTGTCTCAACAAAAAAATAAATAAATAAATAAATACACTGAATAGGAAAAAATCGTGACACTCTGGCAGTAAAAACACCCGCATAGTCTGTAGCAAGCAGCTTGCGCCCTGTGGAAGACGCGTGATACCCCCTAAAACCTAAAATCACAGTGCAGAACTGGATCACTCCCCTCCGTCACTCACAGATTATACTATAGCTGGACGGGGCTGACTGTGCAATGCATTCTGAACAAAGCAGGCGGGGTGGAGGCAGAGACAGAGAGGATAAAAGAGCAGGAGAGAAACCCAGGGAGGACAATTATAAAAAAAAAAAAAGCAAAAAAAAAAAAAAAAAAGCCTGCTAGTCAAAGGCTCTGTGGAAGTGAAATCCCCTCTCTCAGCTCTCTGGCTGGTGAACAAGCAGGGAGCCACAATGGCTAACAGATTCCCCCGGATTTGAAACACAAAGGGTGGGCAGCCGTCCACCAGATAACCCTTGCAGACCCCCCCAACCCGACCGCATGCGTAGCCTCACTGTACATCCGCAAATAGCCCTTCCACCCAATCTGACTTCAGCCTCTTGAATCACCAGCGAGCTAGCTGACATGGTGAAGGCGTGATAATACAGTGTGTGTGTGTGTGTGTGTGTGTGTGTGTGTGTGTGTGTGTGTGTGTGTGTGCAAACAAGTAATAAATCCTGGAGATTTCAGCCAACCATCACTGTCCTGCCAAACACGGGGCTCATAGTGGTGCTAATTGGAGTTTTGCTCCAGGCGCACATGTGTACAGTATGCACATCTATCTATTACTGTGGGTCTGAGGTCATTCAGAAAGCCCACTTCTGTGCCCAAACTGTGACTTAGAATATCGTCAACATTTTTTTTATTTATGTAAATTGGTACAAAAAGTGAAACCGACACAGCTAGAAGTCTACGTACATGGGAGAAGACTCCTGTACCTTTACTTTGTTCCTCTGTGTCTAAACTTCAGTCAGACCAAGCTTCTCCTGTTAGCGTTACCAAAACTATTTTTATTTGCTAATTACGACAACAAAGAGAAAAAGAATGTCAGAAATGTGTTCATGAATGTTTCTGTACAGAATTTTGGTAATTCCATCTGGCCTAAAATAAGAAAAGGTTCAGCGTATGTAAACTTTTGGCTTGGTACACAGTGTGACATATTTCTGTTTACTTTTGCTTTACAGCTAATGGAAAACAAAACAAATCAGATCCCCAGTCACTTGGATTATTACGCAAGACCAATAATTTCAATTCTGTTTCATTCAGGGTTTCAAAACAAACGTCGTTCTATCGATTACACCGTAATGGAAGTCAGTCACATATTTTCTAATTCACTCCTTGTTACAAACACTGTAGTGATGTTTGGTTTATTAAGCCGGTTAGTAAAATGTTTTCTATCTAATGGGACCCAGCTGACAACAAACCCTCATGCTGCTCATGCATGTGGCTGCACAAAAAGAAAGAAAACCTCCATTTTAAAATGCAAGTAAGGGCATTTTATCGTACACACCATCCGAGTCCCCATCAGGTGCTTTAGTGAAGTTTTAAAGCAGTCAGTTTCAGTTCAGCCTGGTCTCAGGCTCATTAGAAGTTGACGTGTCTCATCACACATGAACCCGGCAGAGGAGAACCAGTGACCCGCTTCCAAACCTTCCTCTTCTGCTGAAAATATCCTGGCTTCGGGTTGATTGCAGCCAGGTGTTTAGTGATCGCGGGTTTGGCACAGACATTAGATTGGTCTCAGGCTGTTAAACAATGAGACGATTAAGCTCAATTAATGACCAATGTCCGACGCTGCAGCCTCAGGCGCTGTTATATTGCCGCCTGGAGCTGAGGTAGGGCTGATGGTGGCAGTTTGGAGAGCGCCGGCGGAGCGCCCACTTAGCCAAGTTACATACCAACTGTGTGTACGCGTGTGTGTTGTTTTTTGTGTGTGTTTGCTGTTATGACCAGAATTGTGCTATTTGGGTTGTGGCATGACAGTGATAGTAATTGGTGCAACACTTGGCTTCAGTGCTAATAGAATTGGGATGAGCAGGCAGGCGGCCACTGAGACTCATCGACTTTCCTGAAATGGGCATCTGAAGCTCTTCAAGGGAATTCAGAGGCAAATAGAAGAAACGGGAGAAAAATACATTTTCACCGTTTTATTTGTCTGAAGGTAAGTGTGAAGCATAAACGTTCCTGTATGCTACAGAGTAGGAAAACGTCATCCTTGGATTAAATGTAGATGTTTCTGACCTGTAGTCCTGCATTGCAAAGGTTTGTTAATTTTGTACACATGCAAGTTATTTAATACATATTTATATGGGGATAATTTCAACTTAAATACAGGAAATTAATTCATTTTAATGTTTCAGTAATAATATATTTTTTCATCATTCATTAACTACCTAATAAAATAATATATTTAAATTCTTCAAAAGCGTTTTGTCAGTTGTCATTTAGCTTTAATTGTAGTCCTGCATCACGTCATGAATTTAAATGCAGCTATGGACTCGATTCCTGCTCTCTGGCAGGTTAACCAATCAGATGCTAAAGTTCATTTGACGAACACATCGTGAAGGTCTAAACAATTTCCATTGTAGCACAGGAAATATGAAATAATTACATAAATTAATACTGAAATAAATGTAAATAATTTTAACCTGAATTGCATTCAGAATTTTAATCCATAATTTCAGTGTTTTAGCATTTATTTGTACTTCTTTATACGGAAGAGGATTAGGGCCACTGAAAAAAAAAAAGTCAGAATTCAGAGGGGAAAAAAAACAAATAAATAAAATAAAATGAAAAATCAGTGACCCAAAAAAAGGGTTTTTATCTATTGACCCTTACAGGATTTTTTTTCAATCCCCAGGTTTCATTCAGAACATATGGACAATTAAATTGAGTTACACAGATTTAGTTGAAAGTGCATAAAATAAAAGATATAATGAAAATCAATTAACTATTTAAAATGTTTTAAAAAATGATAAAAACTATTGTAATGTTTTATTTTCGTATGCAGGTATGGTGGCTATGGGTAGATCAATATTTTTGATTGAGTCGTTTGTTAGTTTCGGACACAGGATCACAAATTGGTGTTTGGTCTAAAAGCAAGTGTGCAAAATCTGCTTGACAACCACTAATCTTAAACTCGGTGCTGCTGCAAAGGAAAAGGCATCGTTTCTCGTTGGTGTTTGGGAGACAAAAGGATGTGCTTGGAGAAAAGTGACTGAGACAAGCCCATGAACATTATTGATTACAACTATTCAGAGGCGATGCTTTTATTGGTTTTCAGCACTGCCAGTGTGAATAAAAAAGTGGTTTTTGTGTGTGTATGTGTGTGTGTGTGTGTTTTTTAGCTGATTATAGACTCACCATGAAAAAAAAAAAAACACAATTTCAAATCCTGTGCTGTAGACGGACCTTTTTCAGACTCGGCCACCTCTTTGACCCTCCATTTGTCCGCTTGCCCTGATGGTTTAAAGGCAGCATGCACAACATGCTGTGGTGTTTGACTGAACGGAAATGGAACAAGGAAAAAATTCAAAACATTTTTGAAAGTCTTTCTGGATATCTGGAGAACTAAAAGTCTGACACCACAATGGCACAGTCATGAGGGAGGTATTAGATGCTTCAATCTGAGACAAATAAATAAAAATATGATCAGATCTCAAGGGTGTTAAATGTAAAATATGTTGTTTTTTTTGTTTTTTGTTTTTTTCACTAGATCTAGAATACGTTGAATTAGGTTTCATAAACACATTGACCTCTGGGGACAATTTTTATTT